TGCTCCCTCATTTATTCAGATGATTCCTCACATTAACCACAGGGAGCACAGTTTGCCATTAATTATGTGTGTCACATGCTCCCTTCTATTATTGTGTGTAAGTTTTCTGCAGCTTTCATCATCCGTATGCTGTCGCCTGCTGCGCAGATCTGTGTGCAGCCTCTGAACACTGTAAAAACAAATTACCGACACTTCTCTAGTTCACACTCTCCATTAAACCCACCGCAAGATTTCCATAAAAAGATCAATAATAGAAATAAAGTTTGCGGTGTCACACTGTAAAAATGTCCAAATGGTGTGGTGATATTTCAGGAGGCCTAATAGATTAAAAGGCTCTTTAAACAGCAGTTGACATCAGACAGCAGGAGCACAGTGGTGGTGATGGTCATTAGGATAAGATGTGAAATTGAAACAAACCCTGCTAGTATCATGTGTCTGGCAGATTAAAATAAAAACCAAAATAGGAAATATGTCAAAATGAAATATTCTTATATTGTGTGAACTATAAGATACTAGTCCATACCCATTGAGTGCACAGTTGCCCACATACAGTTTCACATGGTGTGTGTTTGGGATACAGGTCATAGGAAACTGCAGATTAAATAGTCAACTGAACCCATTAAGAAGAGCAATGTATTCAGACAGAGTTTTTGTGAATTTGATAGTACGATTGCTTTATTGAAAGTACAGTAGTACCATTGCCAATAGTGGGATAGTTAGTGGGCTAAAACTGTACATTAGTAGTTGAGGTAGCACGTTAAAAGGCAGATAGTTAAAGTCATTGCCTTATAGAAGCTCAGTTTTAGTAAGTTTTCCAACTTTTGCCAAGAGGGAACTTTAGATATTGGTCCCTAGATTATGTTCACAGAGTTTCATGTAGATCGCTCAAACTTCCTAGGAAGAGATCGATTTGAAGTGTTTTTCAAAAAATTCAAAATGTGGAAAATCTATATAAGCGGAAGTTATGGGTTCTTGAGGCAAATGTGTTCCTCATGAGGAGAGGCATCTCTGTGCAAAGTTTCATGTCTCTACGACATACGGGGCATGAGATATGCCCATTCAAAGTTTGCAATTTCAATCGGTTGCTATAGCGCCCCCCTTTGGCCAATTGATGTAATATTGCATATAATATCGCATCCTCCCATGACCCTCTACCACTGTGCCAAATTTCACATGGATTGACCAAGTCAGTGAGGAGAAAAACATGGAACAGACAGACACACACACACACACACACACACACACAGAGTTTTCGTCATTATATAGTAAGATGTTACCCAAGACGACTGTGTCTTCATATGAGGGCATCACATTTTGGGTTTACTTGTCCTTATACTTCATTCAACTCAGACCTGTTGTCCTCATTCATGGACACTTTTTGTGCCATCTAGCGGTAGTAAGAGCACAATACACTAATCCATGTAAAAACAAGATGGCAGCCATCTCTGCCAAGTCAGTCTGCAGCCGATCCCGACACAAAAGTGGACAAGGTCCAAATCTGATCACATTTTATGGTTTCATTTATGATTAATAAAGTTTGCAGTTTGATATGACAACAAATTTGACCACATTTAGCAAAAGTATCAAGCTAAGATGCTGTTAATCAGGAAGTACTTGTTTGAGGACACTGGGACTTTATTGTTGTTCAGATTTAGGACACTGGGAAATTAGAAATGCATACCAAACAAAAGTTCGGGTCTCAGGAGGCTAGGTCTTCCTCTTAACATGTTGGGTGTAGGTTACATTACAGATCATGTTCTCCAGGAAGACTTTCAACACACCACAGGTCTTATAGATCAGACCGGAGATGTGCTTCGCTTCAGCATGGCAAGCTGGATGGTGGATACGGTGCTCAGTGATTCCCTGGATGTCATCAAATAGGACTTCACGGTGAGGCTTAGTGCCTTCAACCGGGTCCTTTTCCTCCTTTGCCTCTGCCACTCAACTTTTCTGATTAGTCACCCTGTTCAATAGGCTGCTTCTCATTAAGGCCAGGAGTCGACAACCTTTACTGTCAAAAGAGCCATTTTTGACCAAAAATAATTTAAAAAATCTGTATGGAGCCACAAAACATATTTGAGGCTTTTAATGAAGGTCACACAGCCTATTAAGTCGAAATTAGCCTGTACTAATAGTCTAAATGAGCATTCACTCTGCAGGGCACTTTTTATGATCATTTGGTACTTGAACTTTGCAGAGCTGCAGTGAAAGCAAACAAATCTCTCCATACACCACTTAATTCTCCAATTTATTCTGAGACATTTGCTTTTTTGGATTTGGCATCCACAGCTAACCAGTTAGGAAGATTCAAGACTCGCCACTGCTATCGAGGTTCAGCAAAATTTAAAGGAAAAGGTGCCAGGCAGTAGATGCATTACACACATTTCAGATTTTATTTGCTATAGACGCTTTTCCTTTTTACAATTGGAGAATGAAAGAATTTCTTTAGGCCTACAACACTGATATCTAAGAATTAAAATATCAAAGAATACCAATTATTCATTTCCATGTAGTTTTTTTTTTGTTTGTTTTTTTTAAATGGTAAAAGCCACAGGGAGCCGCTAGAGAGGGACGAAAGAGCTACTTGTGGCTCTGGAGTTGCAGGTTGCCTCCCATTGATCTAGGCTATCTAATTCCAAGAAATTTAATTCAATGGGCTTGGAATGCAAAAAAGACGGTAATATTTCTGTTTGTTGTTGTTTAAATGTAGACAGTAGGGATGTAACGATACCAGAAACTCACGATACGATATTATCACGATAAAGAGTCCACGATACGATATATATCACGATATTTATACAAGGGGAAAAAAGAGAAAATTTATTGTTAAAAATAGCTATTTTATTCAAAAATAGTGCATGTACACTGTACAGCATGTTATTTTTAACTTGGAAACGTATCATAAACAAATCAACACACAGTTGAACATGTGCTTTCATTTCCCCCCTATTACTGCTAGGCAGGCAGACATTAAAGTGCCATAACAAAGTCATGTCAATAAAACTATAGTGACAGAATATGAAAATGGAAACATTCAGTATTTTTTAACCTACTCTGAATGAAAGTAGTGTAGTACTATTACTAGAAAGTCATCTGAATGACATCAAATTATGAGGATAGAGTCGTCTTAATATTCATCAAATATACAGAACTTAGAAAAATCAGACCCTGCAACAACAACAAAATTAATAAATTAGAAATAATCTAAACTCAATAACACACAATCCCTCACTCACAGATACACAGAGAGAGACAGAGAGAGAGAGAGAGAGAGGTGGGTAGAGATGTGTGTAAAAGAAAACCAAAATAAATAAAGCCCAGCCATTTCCCTGGAAGCCATAGAAAAACTCAAAAACACACATTCACTCAGTTTGTTCACGCCAGGTTGACAATCTTGACATCAAGGAGACCCTAACACTTTCTCAAAACAGGAGATGAGGAGAGGAAAGCTCTGGTCCTGCACTTTCATGTGATATGCGTGGCATTTCTGTGCGACCCTGCATTCGCGAGTAATCCATCCAACAGTAATGTGTGTGCAAAGCTGTATGAAAGCTTTGTTATACATTATTTTAGTGTAACTTTATCATTTTTTTTCACTGTGAAAACATTGGACCACCGACAAGTGATCTTGTCGGAAAGCCACGATTCCGCTGTGTCACGTGATATGCGTGGCTTCTCGCTATGACGAACGGTCGCGGAGAGAATCCACAGAGAAGAACAGTCAATCTCCTTACTTTTATTCACTGTTTCCTCCAGTCACGCACGGGTCAGAGTCGAAGGCTGAGAGGCTGAGCTGTACGAGTCTGCTCTCACCTGCGCGTGCAGATGCATGCAAAGGATTATGGGGAATGTAGTCACACAGTCATATTACCGGCTCTGTAGGAGAGCGCAGCTATATAACTACCGTGGCATTCCCATGACGGTATCGAGAATTTATTTTTTCACGACACCGCGAAATTCGATATATCGTTACCTCCCTAGTAGACAGTGATACGGCTTTGTAAAACATATGTGTCACGTGTGTGTATAACATATATGTCCAGTAGTCGTACTACTGTATAGTGTCGGAATTCTGGAATGTTAACAGCCAATTTGGTCATCAAAAAACAAATCTGATATGAACTCTGGTGCAGTTGGCACGTACAGCAGTTACAAACCCTGCCAATGTGGCAAAATAATTCATATCGTATCGACCCTTGTGGCTACACAGATGCAAAATATATAAAAGTTGAGTTCTGGAGCGTTACTCTTGGTCGAGTCTTCTCAGAGTAGCACCTGACAGGTTGGATCTGGATTGGATATTTTGATACATCAGAAAGTGAAATTCTTACCCAATGGACACCCCAATGGAAAGCCCATGGAGAGTCCAAAAATGCAACAGGTTAATTCCAGTAAATATCCAAAAGTCACCATAAACCATAAAGGTAAAATAGTAAAAAGCACGTTCTACAGAATGTGTCCAGTTCACATCAAGTTAATACATCCAGAATGTCATCCTCCTCTCTCTACATGTCGTAGAAATCTGCACACAGTATTCAGTGTATACAACAATACCTTTTGGCCCAATATTCACAGAAGATAAAAGGTCACAGAGTCACCAAAATTCACCAAGTCAACATTCTGGATCATTAAAATTCAACTACATTTTGTGGCATTTTCGAGTGTTGGACTGACCAGCCCTCATCACCATCCTCAGACTGCACCACTAACTTGGCAAAAACCAGACAGTACTAAAACTTTAACACAGCACATCACGTTGCTTCAAACATCAATATATCATAAAAAGTCCACCACCAGCATTCCCAGCTGCTCCCTAAGTGGATTTTCTATCCGTATACACACATTGTAGGAAAGTAAAGTGATATCTGCTGAATGAAAATGACCTACTGTTAAATTTCACCCTCCAAAATGCACCAAAACCACAACACCAGATACTGCACAGCTTCCAGCGTCCTGCCACAACAGCACAGTCAAAGTAAAAAGCAGCCGCTCGTACTTACATCCCACCATCATCATGGCCACAGAGAAGATCTTCTCCCCGTCCGTGGAGGGGGCGATGTTGCCGAATCCGATGGTCGTCAGGCTGGTCATAGTAAAATACAGAGAGGTGATGTACAGAGAATCCTTGCCAGGGCCGCCCTCCCATTGGCCAGAGCCACTGGCGTTGTAGCGGTAAGGTGATCCAATGCTGATAGCCAGCTGGTAGAGCCAGCTGTCCATCTTGATGGTGTTGGTGGCCTCATCGATAACCTCGTAGTCTCCGATACTGTACCTGGTGAGGACAAGGTTTCAATTTGAGTATGTTGAGTAGTATGTTGAGTATTTATGCTAATGTTCAGGTTCATACTTGTATTGTGGTTCTCTACTGGAACATGTTTACATGCTTTAATGTTCAAAGAACACAGTTTCCCTCATTCTGTCTGTGCTCTAACACTGTATTCACAGTCTGCTCTGATTGGTCAACATTTCCAGGTCTTTTACATCTTGGCATCCCTGTACTGTCATTGCAGCCGCGCAATAACTGTAATGGAAAAGAGCAGCACTTTCTACACCAATCACCAAAATCACCAATAAAAGCTTTGAAATCAGAATCTTCCCAACTGGGTATGTTCCAGAAAGAATCTGATCTGAACTCAGCACGAAATTAACGACAACAGCAACCAAAGTTACATGTTTCCCTGACGTTAGCATTAGGGTTGGAAGTTAACTTTTTTGTGCACCCAACACTGTGGCTGGTGGATTCCAAAATCTACCAGCCACTCAATCGATGCAATTGTTTTTTTCGGCTGGTGAGTGAAGTAAATCCAGCAGCCAATTGTTTGGCTGGTGACTGGTGCTACAGTAATTTCCAACCCTGGTTAGCATGTAGCTACATGTAGCAGTATAGGCTACGTCACAAACTGACGTCAGCTTGTCTTGAGAGTCTAAATAATGTTGGAATCAGAGTATTCAGAACAGTCTGAAGCCTGAGGTTTTTATTCATAGGGTTTACTTTAACATACTTTTACCTTATTATTTGACACTATGGCCATATTCAATATGAACATCTGACATTACAACTTTATATTTACTGTATGTCAGAAAATAAGGGAAAAAAATACAGGTTTCCTTTAAGTATTTTCCATCCACAGTTTGTTTTATCTATTCACAATCTTACTTCAACTTTGTGAATGACACAATGTGGACATGATTGCTCACAGTCTGTCTATATTAGTCAACAGTTTCTGTGCCAAATGCCTACATAATACTGTATGTCTAGTGTTACTAACACATCTCGAAATGAACTTTGGTCAGCAAGATTAAAAAACTGCCTGACTCAACCCTGTCTCTGAGAAAAAATGTTCATACACTGCTTAAATGCAAGAGCAAATACATTTTGGTGGTAACACAAAGCCGCCAGGATTATGTTTTTATATCAACATAATGAGAAAACGTATGTTTTTGCAAGACGTTGAAACTTCCTAACAATGTCCCATTCTTACAATATAATAATCAATCATACTGAAAAACTTATCTGTAGGAATTCACAGCATTCAGTTAAGGTTAGGAAAACATGCACAGTGAAGAGACAGGTTGAGTTTTAACATGTAACAGAAACAACAATCTGAATATAATCCAGGGAAGCAAAACAAATTAATAGCATATAAATAAAATGAGACAGAGTTGCCTGACTCTTGATAGAAACTGCCTTTTACAACTCTCAATCCTTGTCAGCAAAGGACAAATTCCCCCTTAAAGACACTTCAAATACCTTAATCCCTCCATTCTATATGCACACATCATTTAGCATACACACTATCTCTGAATTCAATGCCTCAAATATGAAGGACTACTTAAGCCAACCATAAATATGGTTATTAAAACCATCAATGATTCATGTAAGAGCAGACTGAGGGGTCTTTGGTCTGTCAAGGCTCATATTCAGTTATTAATATAAGTTAGTTCATGCACTTTTCACTTCCATTTTAATATGAAAAGTTAATTCAGCTGTGGAGGTGTAAAAGTGCTCAGTTTGGCAATTTATGTGCGGTAAAGCTGTAAAATGACCCCAAATATAGCAGTGATGATCAAAATATTGCTGCTGTTTTTAATGTCGGGAGTATTTGCAGTTAAGGAATGATTTGAAAAGGGAGTCTGTGTTTTTTGGGAGCAGAAATAGTTTGCTATAGGGCATAAAGACATGATGACAACTGATGTTGTACAACTTTGGAGGAAACTAAACAAGGCTTGTAGCAAGCAGAACAGCAGCAGATGCTTTGTGATGCACAGAACAGGTGGGGAGGGCGGGAGCAGTGTTTAGCATTCATAAGCAATTAGGAACAATTAGGAAGATGGGTAAATTCCCAGCAGTCAGCAGGAGCTTATGAATGGCACTAAACTGTGAGGGAAAGAGAAACAGTTCCTTCAGTGGCCGTAAAACTCATAAACAAAAAGCAGTTTACCAGATGCAGGCGAGCCAGTGAGCCACCAGTCCAAACACGCAGACCAGCAGGACCAGAACAGCAGCACCGTACTCTAGGTAGTGGTCTAGTTTCCTGGCCACCCGGCCCAGACGCAGCAGGCGGACCACCTTCAGAGAGCTGAACAGACTGCTGATGCCCTGAGGGGAGGAAGGAGGGAGATGAAGGGAGGGAGGGAGGAGACGGAGGAGGATGAGAAATGTGAAGAGGTATATGTAAGGGAAGGTATAGGGAGGAGAAGGAAGAAAAGGGGGAAATGAGTAGAGACAGAAAGAATCGGTCATTACAGGTAAAAGTCAGGTTTTAGTGTAAATAGTGAATGCATTCCTTGGGCATTAACAAACTGTTCACTGAGCCCAGAGACTTTTAAACACTGTAGACAGAAGCAATTAAAGGGTAAGTTCCATGTTTTACAACCTGGACTCTATTTCCCCATGTTTTTGTGTCTAATGCCCCATTTCCACCAAACACTTTCGGTACAGCACAGTTCAGTTCGGTTCAGTTCAGTACACTTTTTTTCCGTTTCCACTCTGAAAAGTTGTGGATGGTACCAAAGGAACTGTTCAGTACCGTCCCCATGTTTGGTCCCCCCTCTGTTGGGGTACCTAGCACACAGATCTGGTACTAAAAGGTGGAGCTGTGAACACTGCAGTCTGATTGGTCAGTAGAGGACAATCAATATGCTCAGGGCTGAGTTGTGTCTGGTTTTGAGGCTCATGTAACCACTGTTCATACTGTGGAGAGTTTTATTAGTAAACTGTAACTATAAAATGAAAGGATGTTTTGCTGCCTCTCACAGCAGCTGGAGTCTGAGAAAAAATAACTTCATTAACTGGGCAGACTGCCAGTGACTTTTAAGGTGGAACGTTTACTTGTAATGTTACTCAATGCATGAGTTGATGACGTGAATCCATCAGCACACCTTAAATGTCACTGTGACAACTTTGACCATCACTTTAGTTTTTATTGTCTCTCTTAGATGACAGACGCTTTTAGTAATGAGTGGATCTGCAAGCGTTTAAAAATATATATTAATTTCGACTGCATTATGTAAACTGTGTATATCCCAATCCTTGAGGAAAAAAAGCATTGCGGAGCGTCGTTCCTGTGGGCTACAGCCACACTAAACCCCTGAGCTTGCCTGAGAAGGACTAAATGTTTACTTGTAATGTTACTCAATGTAAGAGTTGACGACGTGAATCCATCATTCCTGGTGAATTCCTGGTTTTAAAAAAGGATCTTACTCTTTTACAAAAATGTCCATCTCTGTACGGATCCTTTACATAAGTTGTCAGATGCTTAAAATATTAATCTGAGCCTCAGTCAGTGGCAAAAACAAACACTTCTATTGGACGTAAATCGACGGTGCCAAATGTCTCAAATGGTTACATTGCAGCTTGTTTCGCTGCTCCCAGCTCCAGCCCTCCTCGCTCAGTACTGGACCAGTTCAAAAAATTGTTGTTCCCAATAATCACTTAGACTCAAACACATGGGAAATAGGGTCCAGTTTGAATAACACTTTAAACCTTTTTGTGCAGTGAGACTTCATAAAGGCTTTTATAAGGAAGGAAAGTACATTGGTGGTAAAGGAATACAATGACAACAACAGTGTTATCAGCTTGTTTTCAGTCCGCCCACAAATGAATAGTTCCTTTTCATAAAGTGCTTTGTATTCATCTTTAAAAAAACAAACACTACCATTATTTGAAATACACAAATGAGTGTCTCTGCACAGACACCTACACACACCGTAAGTAAGAAAGGTGTTAAGATGATCACATCCATACCAGACGCTTCTTGTGCTTTAGCAGGGCTTTTATTTATAAATGGAGTTATTTATGTATTTCATATTTTAAATCATAATTGGAAAGCACTTAGAAACAAAGCTAGAAATTGGCACTATTGCATTCAAAGCCACGCTTCAACATCCATCAAAATTGTTTCTCAATAATGAAATTAATTTTGTCCATGTTACGCAGCTCTAAGCTCAAGAGGCAGCCAGAAAAGGTCTCTGCAAAAACTGAGAAGATAAACACAGTAAAGTTCTTAATCCAAACTTATCTTTCAAAACACTATTCGGTAGTTAAGTTATTAAAGCCATGAACCATCTTCAGCCTTAAGTAAATAAATAGGCACATTTACGTTTAATGAATGTGACATTTTTGTTTTTATGTTGGCCAGAAAAGTGAAATCTAAAGTCTTTCTTCAGAGTCAGATCAGTTTCAGTGGTCTGGTATGAGGACATTTCATGTTATGAGCACACAGATATTCACTTGGCACAGGTTACTTTAAAAGGGTACGACTGGGAGTATACGCACTGAGACCAAACGTGTCTTTAAACTTGTTTCCTTTAGCAGGTGCCAACTTGTTGTTGACTGGATCACAAAGTGAATTCCAGTCTTTTGAAACTGACTTGTTTGGACGTCCAAGCCCCACAAATGCTTTTAAAAAGGCTTGATACACACACACACACAATATCATGGTTGCCAGTGTTGCTATGCCTTCCTGCAATCTACAACTATTGTGTTACTAAACGGCCAGATTGTACAGATAGCTCTCTAAATGGTGCCAAGACTACCCCACTTTAACACCATGCTAACAAGGTTTGCATGATGTGACGATACACACCATGAGAAAACTGTAATTTGTCTACATTTGGAGATTTTGCCGCTGATTCTACAGAGGTATCCATCCTTTTAATTCTCAGGTTGTATGAGGCCATTGTGAGCAAACTGCAAACACAACCCGCCTCCAACAAAAAGCACGGCTCAAAGTGCAATTTATGGACCCTAATAAAGCCACCCACATTAAAGTGCAATGTTCTGTGTCCACTATGTTTTAATCACATTTGGGAGCAAAAACAACAAATGTGTTGCCTCAAATAACAACAAGTTGTTTTAGTTTTGCAGTCGTGTTTTATGCACAAAGACTCATAGAAAGAAAAGCAGAATGTGTACAAATGTAACAGGTTCATATCACCTTTACGTCTCTCTGGTCATTGTTTATTTTTGACTGAGAGGACCTCCAAACACCAGGAATATTGTTGAAGTTCAGAAACCCTCCTATGTCACCCTTTTACCCATTCCCCACTCCCATTTTGTCCAGTTCCCCTGCAGGAGAGGTGGGTGTAACTTCTTTTGGTCCTTTTATTATCCTAATCCATCCCAGTATTTCTCTATTTTTGTTTATATTTTTGTTTCCTCCAGTGTTATAACGTCCGTTGATTTTATTTTATTTCAACCTGTCGATTTATTGATTTCAATCAACTGGCACCTAAAAATAGTTCTTTTAAGAGTGAGTGCTACTTTAAGTATTTACGCTCGAGATGTCATGCCTCAGCAAACCCGTCAAGTTACACTTACAGTTTACATGCATGTGATGTCTGTGATAACATGGATGCTTCACACACATCTTCCCTGGCAGCACTGAAGATCTATACAATCAGCACAGTTTCAAGATTAGTGTCACCAATTCAGTGGCCAGAAAGGTTTTGCAGAATATTATGATGTAACAGTGAAGTTAACCTCTGACCTTTTGGATATTATATGTCATCACTTCATCATTTTATGCTGTTAGACATTTGTGTGAAATTTTGTCATAATTAGTGTTTGATTCCTGAGTTATATCCAAAGACATGTTTGGTGAGGTCACAGTAACCTTTGACCAACAAGTTCTAATCAGTTAATAAGTGGACATTTGTGCCAAATTTGAAGACATTTCCTCAAGACGTTCTTGAGATATCATGTTCACAAGAATGAAACACACAAGCTCACAGTGACCTTGACTTTTGACCAACGAATTCTGATCAGTTCATTCTAAATTCAAAGTGGATGTTTGTGCCAAATTTGAAGAAATTTCCATAAGGTTTTTTTTTTTAGAGTAGGGATGCACAATATTGGATTTTTTGCGGACATCTGATATGCCAAAATATACCTCATTTGGCTGATAACCGATACTGATATTGATATATCTACTCTTTTCCCCACCTAATTTTAGTAATCATCAAGTCTCTTCTATGGTGGAATTAACATCATATTATACATGCATACTCTTATCATGATGGCCCATTGTGCACATAAGAAAAAGCATGTTGGCCGATTATAGTCCTATTTTAAAGTCCATATCGGCCGATACAGATGACGTGCCGATATTACCGTGCATCCCTACTTGAGATATTGCATTCACAAGAATGAGATGAAAGCAAGGTCATAGTAACCTTGACCTTTGACCACTAAAATCGAATATGTTTATGCTTAGGTCCAAGTGACGTTTGTGCCAAAGCTGAAGAAATTCCCTTAAGGCATTCCTGAGATATCGCTTTCACAAGAATGAGACAGACAAGGTCACAGTGACCTTGATCTTTGACCACCAAATTCTAATCCATTCATCCTTGATTCAAAGTGGATGTTTGTGATAAATTTAAAAAAGTTTCCTCAAGGTGTTCTTGAGATATTGTGTTCACAATAATGAGATGAAAACAAGGTCAAAGTGACCTTGACCTTTGACCAACAAATCAGTTCATCAGTTCATCAGTTCTAATCAGTTCATCCTTAAGTCCAAGTGACATTTGTGCCAAAGTTAAAGAAATTCCCTTTAGGTGTTCTTGAGATATTGCGTTCACGACAGCCACGATTATTACCGGCATGGAGGCATACAGCTCCTACTCAGAAATCCAGTATCAGCCAAGCTCTAGCAGTAACTTGCATAAACACAAATATAATTTTAATGCACAACACCACAAAGCCTTGCCACACATTATCGGTAGTCTGAGAACAAATTCAGTGCATTATTTTTCTGCCCCAGTCTAGCTGACCTATGTCCTCCAAAGGGCCTGGTTCATCATATTCTCTTCTACTCCACAATCTTCACCACGCATATACAGCTGAGAAAGAGGCTCAAAATAAACAAGAGTGATTGTTTTTAACCACAGGAGCAGCAGCCAGGACCCGGAGGCGTCGGCACGCACTGCACGATCCGTTTGAACACAATTAACAAAGCTGAGTGTTTGGAGCAGCCGTGGCCGACACTGTACAACCTGAAGCTAAATATATTTACCAACACTATAAAAAATACAAGAATCTCCTCATTTTGGAGCATAGGAAGAAAAACAAGTAGATGAAAGCCAGCAGGGTTATCTAAT